ATGATAGATTCTATTAATCTTTTGATCGGCGTTTACGCATTACTTACCTCAACGTGACGTATTGTTTTGATTATACTTTATTTACTTGTTTTGTCTGGTTATCATTTTATATAAATAGTGTTTTTGTCGTGCGGCAAACCTTCAATTTAAAGTGTGAAATTTTCAAAATGTCATTGTATTATAATTTGTTATATACATATTTACTTATAAATGAAATATTGAGAAACATTGATGAAATAAAATGAGTATTTTCATCTTCCGTACTTTCACTGCACACATTTATTTTTCACTGCAGTCCGTATTTTCACTAGCGCATTGCTTGACTACTCTCTATACTTAATTCAGCCGATACACAAAATTTAAGGGGAAGCCTTGCAAAAGGAGATAAATGTAAATATAAACGGAAAACTCAAGGTTTTTTCTATAACTACTGGATTTATTTTCATCTTGTGGTATGAAAATTATCATATTTCACTAGTGGCGACAGCTACTTTGACATGAAATATCTATTTCCATACCACTCGATGAAAATAAATCCTATATTTTCAGGGGGAAAATCTTGATTATCCTTTATGAATTTGTATTATAAGTTTTATAATTGTAACAAATATTGACGATCAGAGTCTCAAAATTTTGCATTTTTGGTACAATTGTTAAATTCGGTATGACATTACTTTATCACCAAAGTTTTACCCTATCCTCGGGTATTTCTTCGTATATTTTTATACATGTTATGTGATTATTTTTGTGGGATTTTTTAGGCTTTAATCTTTGCTAAAGTGGTCACGTGATACAGCCAATACAGCAAACCGCAAGTATTTGTTGTAAAAAGTACATTGTTCATCAATAAGATTATCGTTAATTTTTGGAGTTTTCAAGGCCAATACAAAATAATCGTTTTGGTTTATGTGAGGAAAAAAATCTTTGCAACAAGAAAAGTTCGAATTCAAACTTCAAAGAGACATAAACATTGTGCAGCCGTTACACAATATCTTTGTTGAAATATTTTTGGAAAATCATCATTTTATTAACCAGAAAGATATTCCGCCTAGTGCTCTTCCATTGTAGAAAAGAGATGACATTAAATTTGTGATCTGGTCAAATATCCTTCCAGTGGGGTCCGTCCACACCATCCGTCCAAAATGTGGGTTGGGCTATATTCCACGAGGGACTCGAAAGTAATTAATATAACTTGGAAGATCTTGTTTCGCAATGTTTAAACTAAACTCCCCCCTCATGAGAAGGTGCATGGAATCAACAGAACAACCTATTCAGATATTTTTATCAATCCATTATAAAGTGTTCACGGTCGAAATAATGCAACTTTTCGGATTTTTTTTTCTTCTTCACCAATTCATTTTAATTCTTATTATTCTTCTTTTTCCTCTTTACGGACGTTCCACCTCACCACGCAATGAAATACTGTCCAATGTCAGATAATGGGCGAGGTGTTCGAAAAGATGACAAGATGTGTTCTGAATGATATCTTTGTGAACATGAATTATTTGATGCTGCGTTTTATTTTCAGAAAATAGACAATTTTCGGAAGGAAATGTTCAGTATTGTCAGTTTAATTCGTACCATAACTTTATTTCAGATTAATAAACAAAACCTGACTAACTGGATAAGGACCGAAAACGAAAATTACGACGGGAACCCGGTGTCCCCGAATGACCCGTTTTCTATTTGAGTTTTTTGAAAATAATGTCACTGACAAATAAATATTAGTAAGGCCATTGAAAAGTTATATAGCGGAAATTTCCAACACACATTTCACTATTTCCATTGTAAAGGAAAGCGATTTTAAACTTGAATAAGTTTATTTACATAGTTGTCATAAAAAAGAATGCACTCAAGTACAACAAATGACATAACTACACTTATAAATACATGTATGTCTATTCTGCGTTTTACGTTGTTGTTCTTATTCTAGATAAAAAATATAGAAAACTAGAAATGTGTCCATAGGACACGGGTGCCCCACACGCCACTGTTCAGTAAATCTTATGACTCTACAATGTTGGTCAAATATTTTTTGGACTACATGTGCCACAAGTTGAAAACTAAAATTCTTTTACTTAGTAAAGGGCAAGAACTTTACAAATTCTGAATGAATCCTAAGTCAAGTACAATAACTCTAAAAAACTAAATAAATCCAGACGAAAATACCCAGGTGCACAACTACACATGCTAATCAACATTCCTGTAAAGTCTCATAACTCTAGGTCAAATCCTTTTTGAGTTACATGCGACACAAGTTGAAAATTGCAAAATTTTGCTAAGTCAAGGGCAATAACTCTAAAAAAATACTATATAAATCCACACGAAAAATACCCAGGTGCACAACTACACATGCTGATCAACGTTCCTGTAAAGTTTCATGACTCTAGGTCGAATACTTTTTGAGTAACGTGCGACACAAGTTGAAAATTGCAAATTTTTACTAAGTCAATGGCAATAACTCTAAAAATGCTGAATAAATACACACGAAAATACCCAGGTGCACAACTGCACATGCTGATCAACATTCCTGTAAAGTTTCATGAGTCATGTGCGACACAAAAGAGAACGGACGGAAGGCCGGACGGACGGACACGAGTAAATCTAAATGCCTGCCACTCAAGTGGGGCACAAAAATAAAACGCGTCAGCATGAATTCTAGATAATGCATTAAAGACACATTATGCCTCTGAAAACGAATCAGTATATAAATGGCAAACAGGGAATTTAAATAATGGGTTTAATTTAGAGCATGTAAGATGCTTTCAACCTGGAGAAAGTGGCGCTAAAAGTGAAATGATATATGTCATAGAGTTTGCAAAATGTAAGCATTTTGACTTCCATTCACTAAAACTGTACTAATTACCACAAAAAGATGGTTCAGTCAATTGGCCAATAAGTAATTTTTTGGCAATCAAAAATGAAAAGATTTTTTAAAACATAATTAGATAATGGGCCTTTAAAATACATAAATTATAATTATGTCTTTACCTAAAATTGAGACACTAATGCCCTAAGTGTTTAACATTTTACAACATTAATTATTTATGCAGCTGAACATTAATATGTCTTACCCTTTTCTTATGGAAATGATTTGTAACATGTTGTCAATAGTCCAAAATTAAGACTGTTTATTGAAAAATTCTTAAGTGCAAATCCTAAGAATGATTTTTATAAATGTCCTTGGAGTGACGATTCACTTAAGATTTCCTATAAAACACAGCCCAGTGGGTTTAATGAAATAAACTTGTATGTAGTCTATGTTTAATGAGGGTCCATCCGCCCGGTAAGGCACAAAAATCAGCCTTCGCTGTCGAGTACGGACCCCGTAGTTAATTTTGAAGAACAAAGTGGCGATAATTTACCCAAAGCCAAAAGTAGGTCACTGCACGGCGGTCAATGAGAACCTAAATGTACAGGTAACCTGAGACAATGACTGGATATCTTTTAAAACGCTCCTCCTATTTCAATAAACATTTCATAAACATTGACCGAATTCAGTTTCAGTTTTTATTAAACCAAGGCATATAATATGCAACTGGTTACAACAACCGACAAACAGAAAAATAACAGTCAAAAATCACTAATATCACAATATAAGAATACAATTATGACTAGCTAAAGAAACAAAAAAGGAGATCATATTATTCATTTCAAGTACTAAATTCAATACAACATGTATTTTATATTGTAACAAATGGGAACGGAGAATGAGAAGTATTAATTATCTAAATTTTAACACAATGTTTTTACAAAATAAAGATAATTTTAGTAGAATCTTTTTATCACAACTATTCATTAATGTGTTAAGTTTAAAAATATTGGGATGAATGTAAAACCTGGGGTCTTATGTCATTAAAGTACGAACATTCAAATAAGTAGTGAAATTCATCAACGGACATAAGGAACAGAGCCTATTATTATGATCAAATGCCAAATGTCTGCCTTTCTAACTTTGACTTGTATGAGGACTGAAACAAAAAACCATTAGATACTTTTGTCCTGGCCTTGAAAATCCCAATATTGATAATTATATTGCGATGTACATGTTACAACAAAGACTTGCGGTCAAAGTTCTCGTGACTTGTTTAGTGCCTTGAGTGATTTCTCAAGTACAGCGTTGTTAAGATTCGGAAAGAAAACACTTAATCATGATTTTCGGGTTAACCTCTGATCCCCTTTCAAAATTCCATTTTGTGTAGTTTCTCGTTTAAGGCACACGCATTCTTTTACTTGAGGTTCATGGAATGGCACGAAACTGTCACACTGAAGGTTTCGTGATAACCCCCGTATGAAACACATCTGCGAATGTTTCTAATTCAAAATTTCACCATTTTCATATTTAAATGTTGAATTCCGCTTAAGTCGGTGCTACGGGACATGGACGGTAGTTTGCACTTGACAGTACCGTCAATCAAACCGAGCCTGCAACATTTCCAACTTTGCTGTTTTGACTTTTTCTTATGTTTCTTTATTTTAAATCCATTTTTCGTCACCTTAAAGTAACACATCATAACAAATCAAAATTTTAAAATGACATTTGTAAAACATTATATTTACAGCTTACGCAATGTATAACGAGGCGTATAAAGTTCTATGTTGAGGGTGGAACCAGCATTAACTTACGCCCACCCACAAAAAAATGCTAAAGATGATTTCATCTTTGATCGAAATTTTGTTGAACACCTATGATGACGTTATCATAAAGCCGAGAAAAAATATGTGTCAAAACAAGTCGCAATTTCAGTTGCATGTGTAGATCTATATTATAGATAAAACATTTATAAATGTTCTATATTTAGATATAATTTAATCATTTTAAACACTTTAGTCATTGTATAGTTTGCTAACATAATCATGTGACGAAGAATACATATTTACAGGTAATTCATAAATTTAACCCGTTCATTTGAGTACAAACCTGTAAGCCGGTGACTCACATTTTTGCATTTGCGTGGCCTTGTAACGCAGTACGGGGAAATCCCAATGAAAACTCCGCTCTGTCATGGTATTGACCTCAGTGGCTGATTACGCATGCGCAGTAAGCTGACACAATCAAAAGAAAGGAGGAAACCAGGACGATTTTACCTGATTACAGTGATTTTGACATAAACTTAGAAATTTTGTTGGGGAAATTTTGTTGATAGAGGAATATAAGGTATAAAACTATACTTTTGTGTCATTCATTTTAATAAATACTTGATATAAACAGCATAAGACTGAATTAAGCAAAAGGTTAAAATGCGACCCAGTTCTAGCCCAGTGCACTGCGCTGAAGGTAGAATTTAACATTGCCAAATTTAATTACCTGCATTGCACAGTTTAAAAAAAAATCGTTATTATTTATATGTTATTTAAAAGTAAAGAAATTAAATTGATATTTTGGTAATAGATTCTATTAAGGTTAATATTTACTCCAGTATACTTGTATTAATATTATTTGAATAGATATTAAAAAATATTAATTAATAAATGAATAAGATTAATGGAATTGGAATTTGGTTATATTTAATTTAATGTACTTAGTATTTAAAAAAAAATGATTGTTATCTTTTTCAGATAGTAACAAGATGACAGAAGTCAAGAAGATGAATACTAATTTATCATCTGATGAGGATATTGAACAAGATGGTGAGGCAGCTGACGTTATGAGTGAAAGATTACAAAAAATGACAGACACACACACAAAATTATATTCGGATAACACAAAGTCAAGGTGTCTCTCTGGTCAAGTTGATTCTGGACTTGGTGCAAGTATTGAGCTAAAATATCCAAGCCTGGAACAAACTCCGGAATTTTTGGACAAAACGCCAGTACAGTGTTCGGATGCATATGAAAGTTCGGATAATGATTTGCAAAACAGACTCAGTAAGTTAAGTGTTTCAGACAATACAGTGGATGAGGGTCATTATTCAATGGGTTATAAGTCAGTTGAAAGTGTGAGCTCTGAACAGTCTGTGCCGGAGACCACATTGATTGACATTGATTTAACTGAAAGAGATGAAGATGGTGACACTCTTACACATGTTGCGATAGTTAATTTGAATGATGAAATTGCAAAGGTGTTCATTGATCTAGCAGAAGATGCACACTGTTTGAACATCCAGAATTTCTTGTTACAGACTCCACTACATTTAGCAGTTCTCACGTCACAAGTTGATATAGTTAGGGCACTTATTGAGAAAGGGGTCGATGTCACACTTCGGGATCAACAAGGCAACACTCCTCTACACATAGCCTGCAGGAAAGGGGACAGAGATTCTGTTTCAATGATAGTTCAATCTTTTGGAAGTGATGTTGCAAGGCGTAAAAAATACTTCTCAATTAAAAACTGTGAAGGATTAACGTGCCTGCATGTAGCTGCTCAATATAAAGAGTTTATCATACTCGGACATTTATTCGCGAAGGGGGCGGACGTTAATATTGGTGATGCTAAGAGTGGAAGAACTATGCTCCATTACGCTGTTGAAAGAAAAGACATAGAAACAGTGTCTTTACTATTGACTCATCCACATATTGATGTTGAATGTAAAACATTTAAAGGGGAGACACCTCTTGTTCTAGCCTTCTGGAGAAACTACCAAGAGATTGTGAAACGATTAAAAGCAAAAGGAGCATACTTCAGTTATGATGTTTTCGAGGAATCAGATGATGAAAGTTCAACGTGAACACATAATGTCTTATAACTTTTAAGTTATTAAAGCACTTCTGTTGGAGTTGTACAAACAATATGTTGCCCAGGGTTGCTCAGTAAATTTTATGTTTCGCAAGGAAGGAGGGGGTACCAGTATCTTACAGGGAGGAGAAAGGGGTACCAGTACCTGAATGTAGTATGATGCTAAACAAACAAGTGCTTGCTGAAAATGGTTGAGCAAAAAGAAATGACTTTGTTTTCGACAAATTGTATTTAATACAAACTTAGTCTTGTGATATGACAGATAATAGACATTTCTGTATATTAATAATACATGTACTTGTTTTATAAAAACAATTCATTATAACTATGTTAATTAATTTAATTAACAAATTTAGTAAGAAACTGTATCATTTTGTAAATTATGTTAATCATTGTTAATCTATTAGTTTGAAATTACCTTAATTAGTACACAAATTCAGGGGATAAATAGTTCACCGCAAATCTTTCTTATTTACATACGCAATTAATGATTTTATACATATAGATGATCACATGACGTATATTGTATACTGGCCAATAATGATAAACCACAAAGTTTTACTGATAAGTTTAAACCTATAGTCTGATATGTGTCTATACTTGTACTTCCTTTTTAAGTGCAATTTAACTGAGTAGCTGTTTAATAGACTTTACTTTAAATTTAGATATCAAAGATCTGTAAGACATTTTTAAAGAAAAATAAAGGAAAAGAAAATAACAGCTGTGAATTATTAATTTTATGAATTAAAAAGGAAATTGATTGAAATTTTTTTTTAAATTTTTTAGCAAAGGTTTCTTGTACATGTGCATGGTAATATATTTTACATGGCTAATCAGAAAATTGTCTGTTAATTTGATGTATTTTTTTAATGACTTTAATTTTTGCCACTGTTTGAGAATATTATTTGAATGCATTCAGATCTAAATAGACACTGTGATAATTAACCAAAACCATTTAAAGTACATAGAAAAATGAAGACTTCCTTTTTCTAAATCAGACAAAAAATAAATATATTGTCCAACCTATTTTATTAAAAGAGGAAGTTTTAGTTGTAACATGTGTTTCTAAGTTTATCCAGTTAATTTACTTTGGCCTCAGAAAATGCGGGTGTTTTGTGAAAGTTTCATGGTTTTATTTATTTTTCTGTTTTGTTTTGAAGGTAATAAAATACAAAAAAACCTATGTGTTATTGAACTTTTTCTTCTAGTTTCCCTATCACCATGTAATGTTAAATATAGCTCAGACAAATTATACAGTGATATATAGTGAGTTGTTCTTATGTCAAGAAAAATTCATGACAGGAATATCTTTGATAAGAAAGCTTTGTTAAAGCTTCCCTTCAGTTTGATAAACTTTCCTTTTAATATTTCTGGTATTGCACATACATATATATAAATCATCATCTTTAAAAGATATAAATGCTATTTTAGTGTGCTATAAAAGGGATAATATAAGATTTCCAATTCCAGGCTATTTCTGTCCCTAAATAAGCATTCTCCAGTGAAAGGAGGTATTCCCAGTTAGTTTATTTTATCCCAATTTTTAGAAATAGGAAATCCCAGTTGTATGTAAGTATCATTTTTCCTGAGAAAGTCATACGAATTAGGACAAAATATGTTTATTCTGTTAAGAAGAAAAGTTATACAAATGATATGACAGGGTGCAAAGCAATGTTCATTTCAACCCAATGCAGTATGTACTGTTACAACTTTCACAGGAGTGACACAGATTTTGGATGTTGAAAGAGTCCTGCTTTAAGAGAGGCTGAATTTATTGTAAATGTTGACATTGGGAAGAAATACTGTTGTTTAAAGAGGTAATTGCTCTAAACACGACCATTCTGTAGAGATTATAATGTACAGTATATAATTGTGTGGATTTCAGTATACACAAAATCCAAATTTAGGATATTTTGGTACATATTTTCCCAATTTCTTTCTGTGTAAATTTTCCCAATTATGTCTTGTCTAAACTGGTAGTAAATTGTGTCAAAATTCTGGTTATAATGATCGGTTTTCTGGCACAAAATATCATTAAATGTTGATTGATTCTCAAAAAATTTCTAAGCCCTGAACTACCTTTTTATTACTATATTAAAAAGAATTAATAAGTAAGCAATGTGGGTACTGCACATAGTGTATTAAAATGTTGGCCTATTAGAGCACTTGTAGTTCCAGGTATTTACAGTGCTGTTTTTATTAATATTCAGCAAGTCACGTGAATAAAAAAAAATCACCTTCAATTTAAAGATCCTGTAACTCATTTTTTATGGTTTTATATCATAAATATAATGCTCAAATGAAGATTTATCAATATTGTAAGTTCCAAAAAGCATTATTTGTAAAGATATTACCGAATTTACATTTCATGTTAATAAAGGGAGGTAATTAGAAATTTATTTTCTATAAAGTCTAAGTCAAATTTTTCAATAAGAAATGAATGCATATATTTTAATGATTACATATAATGTGGACAAATATTTGCAGTACATATTTTACATATTCTTCGATGTTTGAAAATTGTTTTAGAAGAATAATTATATACGTATATAAATTCGCTTAAGTGCGGTAACAACCCTAATATAGAAAATAGAGCTATATAACCAGGCAGTAGTCCAGTTGTATGAGGATGTCATTAAGTTAATTGATAAAGAAGTAAAAACTTTTAATGTCTGAATATCACATGTTTATCAGTTACTATAGATTTCTACAGATTTAGTTATATGACCAAATATAAATATTATATAAGCGTATAATAATTATATAACTCAAGTTGCTAGGTAACAAAGCAAACTTTTGCAATACTACATAATTGCTTTCCATTAAATGAAATTAAAATTCATGTGGTTTACATCATGATTGTTTATGTTAGCTCGACTAGACTTATTCTTCTTCCCCATTTAAGTACAGAGCCTACCCTGGTTGTTAACTATACAAGGTGAACATATTGTGAGGCCCAATGTGCAGATAACAACGAGATAATAAAGAATAAATGTACATAACTAGATTGGTATGTGATATGATGACTCAATTAAGGTAGCTCGCTACTTTCCGACCGAAATTTGACAATATCTCAGATCTTGATGATTTCTGGTATACAGACATGTAGATATGTAAGCTTTACTTCTGCAGCATTATTTTATAAATAAACAGCGTTACTATGACGTCAAAGCGCCCTCTATCGGTGGCGGCGAAATTGCGTCTTTTTTATCAATAAACATGTCTGTTATTATCAATTTTCATCCGATTTCCTTCATTTTAATTTTATAATGTTCAGTAAATGTATGTCTTTGTAATGATGTCTTTCTTGAACATTTGCTTAATACTCTGCGATTCTACGTTATTTTCCCTCTCGTTCTGACGTCCATATTTGATGCAAATATCGCGCGATATCGCAATAAAGATTGTGAAATAATAAAAAATCAACACGGTGAATTTTGCATTAATTTTTTTAGCATGTAGTGGAGTCATAAAAGAAAATATTTATGCAATAAAAATATAGGGTCAACGCGTAAGATATTTTGCTATTACTATTTGAATATAAAATAAAGGGTGAGTAAAACGTAATGATTTTGGTGACGTCAAATATTTTTCTCAAGGAAATTTTCACGACTTTTTCGATAAATAACATACTGACAGTAATACAAATGTGTGAAAACCATCAACAACAATAGTTTGTAGACATGTTCCGTAAAAATGTTCTTTTAAAAGTCCTGGCAGATGCCTGCATTTCGATGAATATCTTCAATTATATACATGTACAACAAATCAGGGTATAACTGTCTGCAAAAGTTGGTATCAATCGCTGAAAAACTGCAACGAATGGATATAAATACCTCGAGGACTGAAAGACAATTCAGAATATTGAAAGATATAATTAAAAGGCCACCTAAGTGGAAATTATAAAAACATAAATTTTGCAAAGAATGTCAGAAAAAAAGAATGAAAAGGCTGGTGCAGTCGCAATGTCATCATGTTATGTGTATCTCGGTACAACATAAACTTCCATGTTATCATATGTAACAATTTTGAATTGTATATATCAGTTAGTAGGAACAGAGACATAGATAACATCTATGTCTGTGGTAGGAAATGAATCAAATTTACGTTTCAAAAATATATGATCAACTGGAAGTAGCAACGATTTGTACGTAAGCCATGATTCACTGGTAGTCTTAATTATATTATAAAATCTAGCAGACATTTAATTCAAAAATTTTCTACACGTATAAAAATTTATTTATTAACAGCCATCAGATATTCTATTTTCTCTCGCAGCTAAATACCCTGCACTAAGCGTGAGACTCACATTTAAAGCAGGAATCACGCTCTCATGCTATGGCTTTAATTTCTCACGTATTTCACATAATTACAGATATTCTTATTTATTTTAAACTAGCTGACTCGCGGTATGCGTTTACTAGCGCATCTTTGAGGCGACCTGAAGCCGCGATCATTTCTCGATTAAAGGCGAAAGTTCCGTTGATTTATTTTGTATGTTCAGAAGCGGAGAATTTTGCATATTAAATACAGATTCCCTTGTATTGAAGACCATGTAGGATCCTCAATTTTTGAGAATATGGTTGTGGGAGAAGCTCGTTTTTTGTCTGCACATAATGCAGTGCTATGTAGAGCCTATGAAAATAATGAACTATGCATTTTATGTTTTATATTTTCTTATTTTTTAATATTGGGTTTAACGCCGCTTTCAACAGTATTTCAATTAAAGCGGAGGGAATTTAACGGTACCAGTGTTTCTCACAGTATCAACTTCTCTTTGGAAATGAATGACAGGAGTCCGAGGTGGACCTTGAAACATTTCATAGACAGTAAACAATTCTAAAATATAATCTATTAGTACAATAAGCAATCGTGTCTCGAATCTACGAAAGACCGGTGGTGACTTCTGACTTCAGAGTTCAGAGTTCGGACTTCAGACTTCAGACTTCATACATAATGCTTTATACATATAGCATTTAAGGTGTTCTGAACTCCGAAGTCTGAAGTCTGAACTCTGAAATCTGAACTCCGAAGTCTGAACTCTGATCTCCGAAGTCTGAAGTCCGAAATCTGAACTCCGAAGTCTGAACTCTGAACTCCGAAGTTTGAAATCTGATGTCTGAAGTATGAAGTCTGAACTCTGAAATCTGAACTCCGAAGTCTGAACTCTGAACTCCGAAGTCTGAAGTCCGAAATCTGAACTCCGAAGTCTGAACTCTGAACTCCGAAGTCTGAAATCTGAAGTCTGAACTCTGAAATCTTAACTCTGAAGTCTGAATTCTGAAGTATGAACTCTGAAGTCTGAACTCTAAAGGGATTACATGAATCACGTGATCTGACGTCATACTATTGTCGCGCCTTTTTGACGAGTAAACAGCCTTTTTACCTGCACAATTACACACAAGATAATCTGCTTTTGTTTTAATTGAAATGTTAATTATTATTAGCACATTTACTTATTATGAGTAAACTTTTCATTTAGTTTTACCTGTTTTAAAAGTTTTTTTTTCTCTTTTATTTGAGTATTTCTAAGAAAGTACATTTGCAGGATGCACCCTAATTAAAGCAGAACTTGGCCGTTTTACCTGCACAATAACACACAAGGTGACCTGCTCCACCATTGCACAGGTCTTTATAGCTCTTAGGAAATCATGGCTGCCAGGGTAAGGTTCTAGTGCCCTCTCGGGCTTTTATGGGCCTTTTGTTTAACTTGAGAGCAGGCAGCCATATGTAATTAAAGTTGTGAAAAATATTTGAATACATGTATTTTCTGAATTCAGATTTTTATAGCAGTTAATTGTTAAAGCCAGAAATTTTAATAAACAAGTTTTAATTGATGCAATTAACATTGTCCTTTTGTCTCTTTTCTAGCTCACCTGCCAAGTAGTAGTAGTAGTAGTGGGAGTAGAAGTACTAGTACAAGTACTAGTAGTACTAGTGGTAGTTGTAGTAATAGTACATGTAGTACTAGTAGTAGTAGTAGTACTAGTACCAGTAGTAGTAGTAGTAGTAGTAGTAAAGTAGTAGTAGTAGTAGTATTAGTAAGAGTACTCTATTCTAGTAGTAGTAGTACTAGTAGTAGTAGTAATAGTAGTAGCAGTAGTGGTGGCGGTGGCGGCAGCGGCGGCTGAGGTGGTGGTGGTGGTGGTGTAAGTAGTAGTGGTGGTGGTAGTAGTAGTAGTG